CCGCCGCTCCGGTGCCGGCGGGAAGGGGGAGGGGGAGGGGTGCAGTGCGGGCGCCCACCACGCTATCGGTCTTCAGTTGTTTGCGGAGGAACGCCACCAACTTCGAAAACTTGGAGTCTCCGGACAGCTGGGCGGGGCGGGTAGTTTGGGATGACGGGGGTTGTGGTCATGCCCGTGCGCCCGCAGCAGGGGCTGGACAAAGCGTTTGCTGATTGCGGCCGCGGCTGGCGCGGGCCGTGGGGGGGAGCGCGGCAATGTGATGCCGGCGGGGAGCGGTGGCGATGGGGGCTGTGAGGGCACACCCCAAATCTGCACAAAGCTTGAGAACTCTCCTCGGAAAAAAATATGAAACTGCAGCGATCAAGTTCCGCTTTGCATCCATGTCATCATAAACACCATGCAAACGCACCTTGACCTTGGTCTGCTGCAGGATGGGAGCGCCGCCCGCGGCCCTGAACACAACCACGACTGCGGCGCGAGAGGCGCAGAGAGTCAACAATGGGCGCCCAGAGGTGGTGGCCGCAACTAGCGGTCACGTCAGCAAGGCGCCTGCGCATGTCGGCAGCGTGCCGGTGCGGCGAGCGGTGCTGTGTTGCCAGGCGGCCTCACTCTTGTTGTCCGGCTCCTTCGACATGGCTGCTGCCAGGTCCTCTCGAGCTGCACCCCAGCTACATCACTTGTATGTGCCTAGATCGCATGGGCGTTCTGCGGGCGGCGGGAGCGCGCCGCTCCCAGGACACACTAACCGGGCGCGTGGCACTCTGCAGCAGCGGCGTGTTCACTATTGTGCAGCGCGCTTTTGGAGTAGCACTTGGGCACTGCTTTCCAGCGTGCACGGTATGGCAGTGTCGATAGGATCACTTCAAGGTGCGCCCGATTGCTTGTAACCAATGCATATTCGTTATAGAGTCCTTTTTCCAAACGAATGTATCGGCGTTCATCGCGGTTTCGTTGTCCTCGCCCGTTGCCGTGGCTGGTGGTCCCGTTCGCAGCGCTTGTTCACCTAATCATCACAGCAAGTGCTTCAGATATCATGTCTTGCACTGCCAAAGGCTCGGAGCTGGCGCGGACGGTCGAGGCGCTCATTTCGCCGGGCAAGGGGATCCTGGTGCGGCTTGCGCCGGCGGACACGCCCTTGCGCCGCGGCCGCCTGCAGCTCCATTGCAGCTCGCCACAACCTGCATGTCCCAAGGGCACTTGTGTCGACAATCCGCAACGTCGCGCTGCGCCCGCAGGCCGCCGATGAGAGCACGGGGACTGCCGGCAAGCGGGTGCGGCGCCGGTCCCAAGTCCACCTGGCTATGGCACCAGCTTTCCTCGAATGCAGCCAATCCTTACCTGCTTCTGTGATCCGCAGTCTTCCAGAGCGTAGCTGAACAACTGCAGGCCTTGCAGCAGGTGGAGGCTCTAGCTGCTCTGTCTGCTGAGCGTGCTGCGATTGCCTCAGCAAGAGCCTGCGGCGCGCCCAGCGTGCACAGCACGACTGCCCCGACCTCCACCTCATCCCCCCCTTCACCCCCCAGCTGGAGAGCGTGGGGCTGCCCAACACAGAGGACAACCGCCGCGCGCTGCGGGAGCTGCTGTTCACGGCGGACGGCGTCGAAAAGTTCATATCGGGCGTGGTGAGAACTTCGCCCGGCTGCCCGACGAAACCTCCCCCCCCCCCATGGCGGGGGTTGGGCCCACGGCGCCCGACCCCAGGCCGCCGCTCCCCGACCTGAAACGCAGAAATGCTGGCTCCTCGTTGCTGGTTTCCTGGTGACCCCATACGTGCGGCCGGCAACTGGGAGGGCTTGCCTGAGTGCTTGTTACACCGCCCCAACCCCTCACTCAGATTCAACTCCTTGTGATGCAGCCCCAACCACCCCTCTTCTGACCTGCCCCACGCACTCACGCCTCCCCTGCCCCTTGATGTTTTCCGCCAGATTCTGTATGAGGAGACCCTATTCCAGGCCAGTAGCAAGGGCACCCCCCTGACTAAGGAGCTCGCTGACAGGGGTATTGTTCCAGGCATCAAGGTGGGAGGCTATGTGTGGGTGGGAAAGGGGGGGGGCTGTGGTGTAGTTGAGGGTGGCGGGGGATGGGCATGGGGATGAAGGTGACGGGTAGGAATGAGGCGAGGGACGACAGGGGCATCCGGGGTGGCGACGGGGGTTGGGGACAGCGTCGCTTTTAGCATGTGAGAGTCCGGGGGGCAGCAAAATCGGTTGGCAACCCGTCCTCAAATGAGGCCATCCTGGACGTCAGATCCGAATCGCTGCCAACGCCACGGCCGCTGCGGACCCTAGTGCTCTCGCGCCGCCCGCCCGCGTGCCCCAGGTCGACATTGGCACGGTGGCGCTGGTGGGCAGCCCCCGTGAGCTGTACACTCAGGGCCTCGACAACCTGCGACAGCGCTGCGACAAGTAAGCCATGAAATCCCATTCAAATAGGGGGGTCAAAGGGGGCTGTGGAAGAGGAGGGACGCAGGAGGGGGGCAGGTGCGGGACGCTGCGGCACACCATGGCAGTGTGCTGTGTTGAGGACAGGCCGCACCCGCCCCTCATGGTGTGCTGGCATGTGTGATACAGCATGGGGCATTGCCGTCCCTTACTGGAGTACTCTTCACTCCATGCTAGCGGCAAGAGCACGCAGGTATGCATGCTACAACAGGGCGCCCCCGATTCACCTGCCCTCCCACCTCTAGAACATACACGTTCCGCGCATGGCGACTCAGCAACACATGCACACATGCACCCACGCGCAGGTACTACGCAGCAGGTGCGCGCTTCGCCAAGTGGCGGGCCGTCATCACCATAGACACCGCGGCCGGCCTGCCCTCGCCAGCTGGCGTGCGCTCTGCAGCGGCTGGCCTCGCAGCGTATGCCAAGGTGGGGCCGCGGCCGGCTCGCAGCACCACAATCTGACGCTGCCGCAACGCTGGCTGCCACGTAAAATCCAACATGCTTACACACACCCACATGCACGCCAACGCACACGTACACACACACCAACGCGCGTGCGCATGCCCGCTCGCTCACACGCACGGAAGCACGCACGAAAGACGTTCGTTTTGTCATAATACTATCGCTCAACCACGACTGTCAGACTCCAGTTGATTTGGCGATCAAGTCCCACCACGCCCGTCTCCTCACAACCCCACGCACCCCACGTGTTCTCCTGCCCCTGATCACTCGCAGGTGTGCCAGGAGGCCGGCCTGGTCCCCATCGTGGAGCCCGAGGTTCTGGCGGACGGCCCCCACGGCATCGACGACTGCGAGGCCGTCACGCACGAGGTGAGCCGGCCCTTAGGATCGATGAGGGCCGCACGTATTGGGCGGCGCGGAGGCCGGCGCGGCTGGCGCGGCCGCGCTTCTGGCTGCGTGTGGACGGGGGCTTGTCCGGCGTCTGGGAGGCAGCCGCCAGCGGGCGGTGTGCCGCGCTGCGCGAGAAAAAGCAGATTGGCAATTCTGGCAAGGCGCCTCGACGCACCCAAACACGCTAACACATGCACCTGCGTGCACACACAAACAGACGCAAAAACACACACACACAAATTGAACACGAGCACCAACTCAACTAACAAAACACTCACACACACAACCGGCACAAACGGTGATCTGTCACTACCCAATTTCCTCCCACCCACACCGGCAGGTCCTCTCAGTGGTCTTCCGGGAGCTGGCCATTGCCAAGGTGCAGCTGGAAACCATCCTCCTCAAACCCAACATGATCGTGCCCGGCAGCAAGGGCCCCGCGGCCACCCCCGACGCCGTCGCCGCCGCCACGCTGCGCGTGCTGCGGCGCACCGTGCCGCCGGCGGTGCCGGGGATCATGTTCCTGTCTGGCGGGCAGAGCGAGGAGGAGGCGACCAAGCATTTGGAGCTCATTAACAAGCTTGGGGGCAGGTGGGAGGCGGGGTCCGTCCGATGGGGGCGCACGTGCGGGTTGAGGGGCGGGGGGAGGCTGCAAGAAAACCAAGCGCGGAAGATGGCAAGGCTTTGGTGGTGTAGGCTGGTGAAGCACTGGCTTTTGACAAAGATTTTCAGGGGCACGCTCGTCCTCTGCTCGTCAGTGTGGCGTTCTGTTGTGTACGAGGTTGCCTGGGCCGGAAAGTCCCGGACCTCCCTGTTGGTTTCTATCACTCGTCACCCCTCCTGATCCCGCTGGCCCGGCCTGCCGTTTGGCACGCCTCCCTCCTCGCCCCGCAGCCCGTGGTACGTGTCGTTCTCCTACGGCCGCGCGCTGCAGGCCAGCGCCCTCAAGGCGTGGAGCGGGGACGCCGCAAACGCGGCGGCGGCGCAGGCCGTCTTCATACAGAGGGCCGAGGCCAACAGCCAGGCCGCCCTGGCCAAGTAGTTTGCAGCCAGACCCTTGCTTGTGCCCCTTGAATGGCGAAGCTATTGTAGCTGCAGCTAGCTTTTGGGTGTTTCACGTGAGTTGAGCAGCTCTTGACACATCGCATGCCCGATACGACCTATACGGGTAGCTTGGAGGTGGGCAGCTGCTGGGTGGGCGTACCGCGGCGGTCGGTGCCGGCGGCGCGCCAAGTCAGGGCCTTTGCATGCGTGCGCGGCTCTCCTAGCGTTAACGTTTGCGACAGGCCGAGAGCGGGTGCTTGCTCGGCTGTGCGCGGCCTTTGGAGTTGACTTGAGCGCGTTGGTGTTAGAGCGCAGTCGAGCAGCCGCTGCCTGCCCCAAACGGCATGCACCACATCTATTCCCTTGAGAGCCAATACTGTCTTATGGTGCACAGTCCAACCATATTCAAGGCTGTAACACAACTGCTGCAGCTGCCTTTAGGCCTGAGGAACCTTGCCACTATGGAGAGGGCTAGAGACGAGGCCTCACATACAAGCGCAATGTTGCCCAGCCAGGCGGGTGCCATGCACGACAGCTGAACACTGCGGGAACCAGGAGCACTCACCCCACCTCAGAAGAGTGAGATACGATCACCGTGACCCGCTGCTTGGCTGCGTGTGCATTCCAAGCATTGACGGGGGCAAAACCGCTCAAAAGCGTCCTTACACTCTGTGGACAAGGGGTTGAGGTGGCGCCGAACGCATGCTGCATGCAGCAATGCACAGCTCATGGAGCAGGAGAGAGACAGTGGCTAACTTGCCTGGCCAAAACGTCGATCAAATGAGCTTCAGAGGGTCGTGACCGCCAAAATGGTTGGGTTGCCAGTAAAGAAGTACCTCAGGTGGCAAGGTTCGGATCGGATGAAGTGAATGACAGGTGTGCAGGCAGCATGCATGGGAGACAATTCGTTTGGTGTGTGCGCCCCCTGCTGGCACACTGCGTGAAACGCGGCACGGGGCGCACGGCAAGATGGCAAGGGGGATGCGCATGCGTTGTGGGGCGCAGACAATGGTTCGGCGCAGCACCCTGTTGCGCTAAGTCCACTCGCGGCCAGCAAGGCAAGCATCAAACGAGTGACGACCAGAAGGAATGGACCGAAAGATGGATGGAAGGGGCGGGTCATCCTGCAGGTCGCACTCAAAGCAGAAGCGCCACCAGCAACAGCACGGCAAACGCGACGTTCGCGGCAGGCGCGAGGCCGCGCGCGCCGCCGGTATGTGTGGAGGTGTTCGCCGCCACAGGGGTGACGCATGGGAGCGGATCTGTCAGGTTTGTGATGAGGCTGGTCAGGGCTAGGCTCCCGTTCTTTGCCGCCAGCAGCAGCGACGCCGGGACGAATACCGAGGCGCCGCCGCCGGCCGCGGCGCACGCGTCGGCGGTGGCGTTGCCCGCCGAGCACGCGGCCTGTGCGGCGATGACGGGGCTGGTGGAGGCGTCCAGGCCAAACGCGGCGATGAGGGTCGCCACGGGCGTGTGGGTGCAGCCGCCCTCCGCCAGCCACTGACAGGAGGGGCCGTAGGCCGCGCAGACGCTGGCTGTCAAGTTCTCGTCCCCGGGGGTGCCACAGGCGCTGACATAACTCCGGTAGGCCTTTGGGATAGGTGGGTGGGTTAGTGAGTGGTGTGCGGGTCATGGGGTGTGTCAGGCACAGAACGTGTAACTGGTTGGGCTGTGGAAGCTTGAGCACGCAGATGGCCATGATGGTATCAGACACCACAACGGCCGGCTGTGACCTGAATATGTGCCTGCCTTGCTCTGATTGCCTTCGCACCCACGCACACACACGCATTGCATGCATGGCGGCCCAAACTGCACGAATGTGCCCAATATCAAATGGGCACGAGCATGCCCATCCTTCGCGCCTCAACCCCCACAATCCACTATGCGTCCGCACTCAGACACAAGCAAGTCTCACTGCACATATGAGTACACCTCCAGCCAAACAGCCACACAGCCACGCCCGCACACGCACACACACACACACACACACACACACACACACACGTTGAGGTTGTCGCAGTCTCCCCAAAGGATTGCATTCCACGAAGTGTACTTCTCAGCATAATCGGCCAGCTGCGGGGGGCCCGGTCACATCCGGAAGGCAACGAAATGAGTCCAGTCCCTGGCAGCTGCCATGCACACCTGCCAGCTACCAACAATGCGGCTGTTCATCACAGCCACAGCAGGCTTGCTGCATGGTGACGATGTGCTGCTGCCTTTCCAACAGGTTGTATGTGTGCCTGCTGGGCGTGCATGCACACCCCCGAAGGCGTGCCGCTGTCCCCGGCCGGCCCCCACCTCGGCCTCGCTCATGGCAGCCACCGCAGCAGGCAGGCACTCGGCCGTTCCCGCGTCCCACGTGCAGTTGAAGCCCCTGGCAACAGCGGCGGTGCAGTCGTCCTCGCTGCTGGCCGCCTGGGTTGCATCGGGCAGATGACAGCAGCATGGAGGTTGAGACAAGTCCAGGGGTGCATGCATGCATGCATGACAAGCGCACCATAAACACCAACGCATGCCACATGTGCACTTAACATCATGCACTCACAGGCACACATTCTCTGGGCCCAGCATGCGGCCCAGTATGCGGCAGTGCGCCGTCAGTTGCTGCGACTCACCCAGTTGCATGGGAGCATCGCCGCCATGGGGGAGCCTGGGCATGACATGATCTGCGACATATATTGCAGGGGAGCACGTGGGTAGCTACTGACGACAATCCCAATGATGCAGTTGTGCCATGCTCCGCATGCAGTGCTCATGTCATCGCGGACAGCTGGCGAACCGCACCTGTGTCAGGTCTGAGTCCGAGGTCCCAGAGTTGAGGGTGCAGGCCGGAGTCTGGGGGCGGGGCAACAGGTGAGAGGGTGGCTGACTGGCAGGGATTGCAGCGGGCCTCCCTGCCTGGTGACTGCGTGTCATCTCAAGCGAGGCTGACACATCTGGCGCACGTGCAAGCTGGCAGCGCTCCCCAGGAACCCTTGCCGTTCTTGCAAGGCTGCACAACCAGACGCACCGTGTTGTTGTTATGTACACACGTCGCATCAGCAGCGCACGCGTCGCTGGCGGGGCGCCGGCATTTTAGGAACAGTGATTGGGGTCGTCAGAGCAAGTCAGGATTGAGATAATGGCAACCTGACCTGAGCCACAGCATCCATGGCCCCTTGTCCGCCCTGGCGGCATCAGGCCGGGCTGGTTCAGGGCTTCTGTCACCACTCTTTGGTTTGATTGTCGACATCATGACAACACTCATTGGCTGCGTGGACCCCTTGCAGGCCCCCTCCTAAACCTGGAGTTGAGGTTGTTGCAGTAGACCTCAGTGGCGGTAGCCTGGAGCGTGAGCTTGGCAAAATCGTTGGGGACTGTAGTCAGCAGCTTGGAGAGAACGTACACTGTGCGCATCAAATTAGCAGTTCAGGTCGTAGTGGCACATGGTGAGGTTTCAGGGGTCAAACTAATATTTGCCGGTGCCTGGAATGCTGCTGCGCTGCTGTCCCCATCCGCATGGAGGGACGTGCCACTGAATGATGCAGTTCCAAATTACATGCCCCGTAGCGAATGGAGAGGGCATCATGCGACCCCCTCGTGCCCACCGTCTCACCAGGGCTGATGTCGCACGTGGGCCCATTCGGTCCTTGCGCATCAAAGGCACACTGTGTGCCGGTGTACGTCAAGTCGTCAGCAAAGGGCGTCACCACACTGCACAGCAGCAGCAGCACCACCGCCACTGCACCCAGGCAAGGACGCATGCTGTACGCGATGTGGTGTCAGGGCCTGGCGAAAGCGGGTTTGTGACAAGTGAGCCGTGCACAGCAAGGGCGCAGTTCAAATGTCGTCCTGCTGCCTGTCGCACGTGCTCGCCATCACCACTGATGTCAGCTTGAAGGAATCAAAAGCCTTCAGGTACGCACCTTCAAATTCAGAACGTTCAAGAGGCTACCTTTACAACCAGCGAAGTGCGCGGTCTGGCGAATGCAATGCGCGATCTACCGAAGGCTGCGGTGGCGATGAAAGATAAGTAATTGAAGGGGATAAATGCAGCCAGCAACAACCTGAGTATTCAATCACGTTTGGGATCGGCAGTGGGAGGGACAGCAGCTAGCACGCACCAGTCCAGATGCATTCATCAGGCGTGCCCACGGCCGAAGAATATCATACTGTAAGACAAGCACCTAGCAAGACAGCATTCGGGATCCATGAGCCCAGATATTGATGTTGCTGTGCCCAGCCTGCATGCTGTCCTGCATCGCACTTGGCGCCCTGTGCTCCTGCTTGTGCTGACAAGGGAGCTGTGCGGGCCCGCTTTGGCGCAACTTCGCACGCATGGACAGCCCCTCACAGGCGTGTGAGATGTGATGCATGCCTAGGTCATGTCGGCCCAGGTCACAAAGCCTTTGATCAAATCAGGCAGGCCAAGCCTGCATATACCTTACGCCGGGCTGGACCCACGCATGCAGCCTGTGCATCCCCCGAGGTTGCCGAGCCGCTGAGGGGGGACACATGTGCGCTGTCGCGATCATTAAGGACACGCCATGACCCCTGTGTGCCTTGATGAGCGGTAGCTGTAGACGCCTGACAAGCCGTTCTGAGCTGCCTGGCATCAGCAGCAGTACCTGCACTGCCAACCCTTGCGTCCCAACACCGCTGCTGTTGCTGCCAGAGCGGCACATGTCCAGAAAATAACCCAGCTATACGTCAGAGGTGAGGGTCCAGCTAGCCCCTGATGTCAAGCCACAATTCATAAAAGCCATGCCGCTTCCTATGCTCTGTTCAAGTTTCATTTACATTTAAAGCTCGAGCTGAGGATAGTTATAGGTTTGCTGGCTTACATCATGCACATCTTTGTTACAAAGGAACAAAGCAGAGTGAATAAAAGCAGTACACAGCAGGCGGGGGGTATGATAGGGTGTGAGACAGACCAACGGCCAAGCATGGAACAATGAAAATTAAAAGATTACTGCGAAGTGAGGGATGGTACAGCATTTCCGCCAGCATTCCTTTCAGCTGGTTGGATGGACAACTCTCGTCTTTTGCCATTGGCGGGCGACGCAACTTGCACCCCCGCGTTGCAGCCCATACAATGATTGACTGTAGGCCTCCTCAAATTGATAGTTGGAGTGCCCAGACAATCAGAAGCAAAAAGCAATCATGAGCAAGGGAGTATACATGAACTGATAAAGCAAGCAGCAGTTGCGGTGCTCTGACCCTGCCCGAAGCACTGCTGCAGCAGTGCCGCGCTGGCCCCGGCCCCGGAAGCAGGCCGCATCAGGCCATGATCGTGATGGCCGCAAGCGCCGACGCCGCCGCCGACGCCAGCAGGTTGGATGACATGGCCTCCTCCTGGGCCTCCTGGTAGTCCACCGTCGCGACTGCCGGCTGCTGAGGGTGGCCAAACTCCTCAGCCTGCGGCAGCAAGGTCAGTGTGACAGTCACAGCAGAATCACCCCGTGCAAACTACAGTATGTCATGATCGGTTTCGAGCGCGCATTCGCGCACGCAAATTGACCAGTGGATCCCTGTAACCAACATCCCTAGCAGATTCCCCTCGGAGCACATCCGTCTGCTGGCTCGCCCCCCACTCTCCTGCCCAACCCTAAGCAGCCCCGCCATTGAGCCTCCGCCCCACCTGCCGCCTGGCGTTGCTGCACTGCACCGCGAAGAAGACGGCGCACACCACTGACGACGCCACCCTGGTCAAGCCCCTCTCAGGCTGCACCAGGCCGCCAGCGATACCGTGGACGAGGCACACTGCAAAGCCCAGCTCAAACAGAGCGAGGCAGAGGTTGAGCTGGCTGGAAAGGGGCGAGATGCGTGGCGTGACAAGGATGACGCGTGAGCGACAGCGTGCTGCAGTTGTAGGTGTGTTTGGGAGAGGTCTCAACAAATGCAAAACACAGCATGCACGACACTTGCGCTGGCAATAGGGATGGGCACAATATTTGTTGTGAACCTCGACCCAGTCAGCTGACAATGTGACCGACACCTGCAAGTGCAGCAGGGCCACCAAATCAACACACACTGCAGCGTCACACTGGGGACATTCATTCCAAAACCCGGCAGCAGTCATCAAGAGTGTCAAAGCTTACATGTCACTCTGCAGGTACATGGAGTTGCGGTCAGCGGCCGTCTTCAGGGCGTCGCAGCAGAACGCAGCAATCTGCACCCACATTTGGGTGGAAAGAAAGTTCCAGTCATTATAGCACTTGTCAGCCAATGCTCCCGTGATACGCCTGCGGTGCGGCTGGTAGTGTGTTGCGCACGCGCAACAAACGCGAGTCCCAACCCATGCAACGTGCACAGCCTGCCAACCTTTGCGTATGGAAGGTATGGGAGGGAGCAGTGCAGCGTACAAGCCAAGGACGCCAGCCTCACCAGGAACCCTGCGCTCCATGTCATCTTCAAGACTTTGGCCAGGGGCGTCATCGCCCCCAAGAACAGAGCCTGTTTACGGGGCCAGTCATCACAATAAATTGACAGAGCCTCAGGCATTGAGATGAAGAGTGCTGGCAGCAGGATGCATGCATCCGACAAGGTGCTACCTGCCGGCCCCAGTGCAAACCGTGTGGCTCGTGCTGCACGTCCAAAGCGGCTGTGCGGGCCCACACAGCAGCGGTAATTTGGCGGGTCAAGGTCATCCATAAGCTTGCCTGCGGTGACACTGTGTGGAACATGGCCACCAGGTGTGCCAGCATGATGAGGAAATAAGCCCAGCCCAGCCGCGACGTGGGCAGCATGAAGTCCATCTATTAGTGTGGTTATAAGATTGGACACGAGGGTGGGCATTGTTGGTCTGGTGCCAACATGTTGGACTGTGGAGTTGACTTGGCGTCAGAGAATGCAGTGCATGGCGCATCAGAGGCCTGCTGTGCAGCCCAGGGTGAGGCCAGACACCTTGCGGGTGATGGTCTTCGCGAGTCCCGGCCCAGCCTCCTTTGGCATCGCGATGGCGTACGACTTGTTGATGATCTGAGGTGGTTGGGCGGCGGGCGACCCAGGGGGTGGCGAGCGGCCAAGGGGTCAATGACAGCCTGAGGAGAAGCACATGTCATCAGTGCCGCAATAATTGCCAGCTCGCACCCGCCAATCCGGGGGCCTGCTGTTTGCCGCTCTCTTGCATGTGCGCATCTAACCCCCCAGCATGTGCCGCAACCACCCAGCACAGTGTTTGCTGTTTTTGGTGCGCGGGCTCGCTCCCTCCTGCAGTGGGCCCCCTCCTGCATCAACGCTCCCCCTGAGCACGCTGCAACGGACAATTGCAACGACCCACCTGGGTCCTCATCCAGCGGGGCGCGATTTTGTTCGCTGCCTTGACGCCCACCTTCGCCACGCCGGCCGCACGGCTGCGACAGCGCATGGGTTCGACGGCGTCTTGAAGCCGCTGAGGGCTACGTACGCCCTCCGAAGCCGCCGTACGTCAGCCGGGATACGCATGGGCAGGGACCATACGCAGCAGAACGACAGGCTGCATCTATCAGAGCAGCACAGGGCGCGCGCCTGTACAGTACAGGCGTGTTGGGAACTGCGCTCACCAGGCGTCTCACCTGGCCATCTTGGAGGGGAGCGCGCCTGCGAGCACGCCGGTTTTGAGCCATGTGGGGGCGTCTGCGTGGAAGCCAGCGGGCCCAGCGGCGGCAGGCTGCGGGATGAGGAGCCCAAGGAGCAAGCCAACCCCGACCGGGAACAGCAGCTTGGCCTGCGGGGACACCAAAGTGATGGGATGTGGGGGCAAGGGGCGTGTGCCCACGTTGGTCAAGCACTGGTTGCGCCAGACCCGGGACTGCACTTAGCCAGGATCAAGGATGAGCCGCATGTGACGAGAATGCACTTTCCTGCCGTTGCACACACACTACCTTGCCAATTGAATTGTACAGATTGACAATAAAATTGTGCGCAGCAGCAGGCAAAACACGCCCCTGACGATGCGCTGTGTCGCCCGTGACTGCACCCTCAGTAAGACCCCCTGCCCGCCAAAAGGGTCCAAAGCCTACAACCGCCCACCAGAAAGAAGGGGTTGTAGGGTTCAAAGGCCAGCAGGTTCACGCCAAAGCTGAACAGCAGCACTGTGAGAGCAGAGACAGCGCATGTGTTGGCAGAATGGGCAAGTGGAATTCAGGGCATGAATTCTATAGCACCCAACCTGAATGAAGCATGTGATTCAACGCAGAGGCAGTTTCAGAAATTTACGGGACCAATTGCGTGCAGGCCAGCTGGCCTTGGGGCGGCAGCCCAAGAATAATTTGCCAAGCGTGAAGGCAATGCTGATGGCGGCAAGGTTGGGCGTGGATGGTGCCCACTCAGGCGGGACCCCAGGAGATCAAGAGAGCCCGGCGCGGGTGCCAGCAGTGCCCCCCCCCAGAGGGCGCCACCTCAGCCACACCCACGTGAGGGGAAGAGGAACAGCACAACGGGGTACTGGAAGGCAGCCCAGCAGGACGCAATCTGTGACAGCAGCAGGCGCGAGTGCGAGCGATGCGCAGTTGGGCTGGCCAGCAGCGGAGGCTCGCGTGGGCGGTGAGGGCGCTGGTGGTGTCACGTTCTAAGGCTGTCGTGCAACGGATACCACTCATGTGTGCTCCCCCCTGCATGTCGCACAAAAGGGCTGCCCTTTCGGCTGAATTGGTTGAGCCCCATGAACGCTTGCCCGCATGCATGCATGGGCAAATGCCAGCCCATGCGTGCGCTTGGACCAACGTGCCAGCATGCATGCGCATATCAACTTCCTTGCAAATGTGCACCTGTCTGAAGGCCATGAGGTTTGAGATGCCTCTGAGCAGGAACCCCAGCATGATGCGCTGCGCCGTGGTGGCGCCCAGCCGGTCCGCCTCTGCGGCGCCCTGCAAGTGCCATGCGCGGAACAAAAGCAGACGGCATGTGAGCATGTGCGACATACAGGTAGACATCCACAGGGCATGGCAAGTGGACCAAGACACACATCATGCGAGGCGCCGCTTTGGCACAAACAACACGAAGAAAGCGAACATGCGTGTGCCTTCCCCAGCATGTACACCCAGCGCTCGGAGCCTCTCGCACCTTGAGGATGTGTGCAAGAGCTGCCTTATAGACCATAGCCACCCCCACCATGCGCGCAAACAGCATTTCAAGGCCGCTGGGCGCCTGGCGCATCACGGCCTGCAGGCAGTGTGTTTCGCGTGTCAGGCAGCCATCGCAGCGGCATGCGGTTCGGGCGCTGCAGCCAGTTGCGCCGGTACGCGCGACTGCCCCAGCCCTTGATGCGCTTCAACCCAGCCAGCAGACCGCGCGTTGGCTGAAACCCTAGACGCTTCCCACAGCTACTGTGTGTGATGGGCGGGCTCATGCAATGCTTACGTGGAAAAACTGCTCGGGGACAACGAGCAGCGCCGCCCCTGTGGCAGCCAGGACGGCCGCGAGCGCGCCGAAGCGCCTCGCTGTGGCGCTCAGGTCGAGCAGGGGCCCGCTGCTGACCGGCAGTGCCGGCGGGGCGGTCCCCCTGGAGGCATACTCCTGCTGCTGCTGCTGCTGCTGCTGACGCGGGGATGAATCTTGTGGTGTGAGCACGGCATTTTGACAGTCCTGGGTCTCGTCATCGTCTGACGTGACAGCCATAGAGGTGGCGGCAACTATCGCCGCAACCGCCGCTGCTGCAACTGCATCCTCTGGATTTGCAGTATGGGCCACCACGAGCCTGGCACGGCACGGTCGCGAGAGCACCTGGCCGCGCAATGCGGACAGGAAGTGCGTACTGGGCAGGTAATTCACTTACAGAAGCACACCGCATTGCTTGCTTTGGCAGCATGAGCAAGCAGCAAAGCAGCGCCACAGTGCGGGTGCACCTTGGCAACGGGGGGGCGTGGCGCACGCCATCGTCGTTTGCGCACCTTGGGACACTGCCCTTTTCGTCTCGTGCATCCAAGATTTTGCAAAGAGCGGGTGAGCATCGGTGCGACTTGCGGGTCCCGAGACCAGATCGGTTCCTGATATTTTGTACTGACGCGAGAAATGAGGTGCATATTACCACGGTGAATGTAGCGTATGACGTCAAGGGCAAGTAGCGGTCAAGCGCCAGTGCCGCTCATCGGTCTCACCTCTGATCAATTGAGCAGCACCCTCTCCATTTCAGCAGGAGAAGTGCACGACACTACCAGAAAACCTAGCCTGTGGGGTTCTGCGTTTGTCAGGATTCCATTCAACTGTTGGGGCTCCCAGACCGTTGACATGGGTGTCACTTGCCTGTGATGTGAGTGTGCACCCTCTACGGTATATTGTGACAATGGAACCCTGTTGTACCTCTCCGGTCCACCTTGAAACGAGCATTGATGTTGGCAGGCCTTCTGGCCATCCTGCCAGTCCGTGCCAGCAGCCAGCATGGCCTGGAAACGTGCCCGGCTTTGCAGACTGCCGGAAGTATGATATGCCACCATGAGCGGGACAAGACAGAAATGAACACATATGCATCAACAGGGAAGACGGCCCACTTCCAGGGACCATAGCGCCTGGCTGCTGGCAATTTGAACCAGCAACAGTGGCGTAACCCGTTCAAGTGACTTCCCTGGCTTGGACGACCTCCGTGCCGGTGTGCTTGTGGTTGAATGTTACCGTAATAAGGGGTGCATCTCCGCAACCGTTCCTTCCGCCGTTGGTGCTGCCACTGTTCGGCTCAGCGTGCCACGACGAGGTATCAACCCTGGGGTGCCGCCCTGCGGTCTTGCTAGCTGCTGGAGGATGCGAATAAGAATTAACATGTCCTAATAAGTGGATGAGCTCTCCTGCGGCGGGGGGCTGACCAGATGGGCCCTTCGTCGCGCAGTGCTTTCAGCGGGTGTCACGGCTACTGCGGCGGCATGAGAATAGCAATAGTTATATTACTCGCATCAGCTCTGCTTCCTGACGTCAGTGCGGACGCCCGCCATCAGCAGCGGCAGCAGCAGCAATGCCCTCCTCAAGTGACAAACGTCAGGTGCGCCGGCGCTGCGCAGCGTGTGTAGGCCGGGATGGTCTCATTGTGCCGCCCTGGCACCCCAGCAGCCTCGGCCATCGTCACAATGCCCACCTCGTCATACAGGGTCGATCAAGTGGGCAGCAAGGGCCGAGTACTTGTCAAGTGGGACGTGGACAGCGAGTCGAAGGACTGCCGCGCCATATTCAAGTGAGGGCGGCCGGCGGTGGCGAGTGCAGGTGCCTGCCTAAAACCTCCCTTCCACACAGATTCGCCAGCGTACAGGCAGACCTGTACGCATCCATTGCCGCGTCGTCAGCACTGCCGAAGCGCCTGGTTGTGTAGAGCCAGCGGAGGCCCCGCATCTGTACCCCGCCTGCTGCTGCCCAACTTCGCGGCGATGTCATCGCTCCATCCCTCAGGGTGATCTTGAAGAAGCTCACCGAGAAGTCCGACCACAGCGACGAGTACAACAGCATCGAGAAGTTTGACCTCGGGCCCGCAATCAAGTCCCAGGCCGGCGTCAAGGACCGCTCGTACGCTTTTTCCGATGTGCCTTCGGGCGCACCCGTCACTTTCGAGGTGCAGGCAACCAGCGCCGGCAGCAAGAAGGGGGCGTCGTCCAAGCCGGCGCGGTCGGCGCCGTTCACGGTCAAGCGGGGCTGCAGCGAGGCGGCGGCGCCGGTCGCGCCCGAGAGTGTGTCGTTCCACTCACTGGATGGCTCCGACAAGGTGCGGCCCCGGCCCGCTCGCTGCGTGTTGGCGGCCCCGAACGCAACCCGCACCGCTGGGCGCGGCTGGCTGCTGCCGTGCACAAGGGCGCCGGTGTGCAGCGGGCGCCGGGGGCGGGCTGCGGCCAGGTAGCTAGGAGGAAGTTGAGTCATGACCACCTGCGCAATTGGGGGATGGGCGTGGCCCGGCTCGACGCCGCCGCCTCGCAGCCACCTCGCCTGCCGGGCACTGCACCACCGCAGGCCGCGGCGTCGCGAAGCCAAGGCCTCACGCGCGCCGCGCGCCGTTCCTGCTTGCTGCCACCTGCACACCCACCAATCAAAAGATGTGGTCCCTCCCCCATAAACATACCATTCAGCGACCCCAAAAAAACCCCGTGATACGACCCTGCGACAAACCCCGACGCAAAACCGCCGCAGATCATGCTGAGCTGGTCGGCGCCCCCGAACGATGACTCCGCGCCCTGCGTCGCCGGCTTCGAGGTGCAGGCCTCGTACCAGCCGAGCGGCGAGGTCTGGGCCAGCACGCGCGTCGCGGCGCAGGACTCGTTCGCTGATTACACCCAGGTGGCTTTTCCGTACCGCCCCAGGCTCGCGACGGACACGCTGTACTTCACAATCACGGGGAAGAACGGCGAGAAGTCGGGCAAGCCCGCCAAGCTGGCGCTCAGGCTCGTGCCCGACCGGCTGAGCGGGGGGAAGGGCGGGGGCGGGGGCGCCGGCAAGGCGCCGCTGCTGGAGTCGTGCGTGCAGAAGGCGATGCAGGGGGCACCTCAACTGGAGATCCAGCGGGCCGAGCAGGTGGGACGGGCGGGGCAAGGGGCGGGGCATTGTGCGTGGGCCTCGCGGGGGGGCGGAGGGGGGCGTGTTTGCACGCGTGACAGCAGGCGCTCGAGTGCAGCCGCTTGGGCGCCAAGGCCTCTGCCGAGGGCCCGCTCAGGCTCAGGGCGCTGAACCCGGCGCATCTTGGGCCTGTGGTTGGCAAGCAATGTCCGATGCCCCATTGCTCAAATCATGCTGAACTCATGTAGTGCGGCTCACTGCCCCCCCTCCCCAAACTATCCTTGAGCACAGGCTGACGCTATAGCGGTCACCATCAAGCGCCCCACAGACTCCGACGACGGCGTGTGCGTGACATCATTTGACCTGACGGTCCTGGACGCGTCCAGTGGCGCCCGCCTGGCTTCCGCAGCCCTCAACACGTCGCACCCCCTAGAGGACGCCACGTCCGCGCAGCTGCCCGCCGGCTCCCCGGTGGCTTCCGCGCTGCTGGGCGGCCAGCCGGTGACGATTGAGCTGGCGGCGAGGGCTGACGATCTGAAGGGCGCGCCGCTCCGCCTGGAACGCGTCAAGCTGCAGGGCGCCGCCGGCGCCGGCGCCGGTGCTGGCGCGCGGTGGCTGTGCGGCACGGACGGCTCCGTCGCGCCGCAGAACGCGCTGCTGACTGCGACCGGCGGCCAGCTGGGGTTCACCTGGGAGTGGCCGCAGGGTGACGACGACCAGATGCCCGCCTGCCTGTCTTCCGCGTCGGCACAAATCCTGGATGCTGACAGCCGCCAGCCGGTCGCGGAGTGCGCCGCGGCGCTGACGCAGGCGACGGCCGGGCGCCCGGTCGCGCGCGAGCGCGGGGACGGCAGCTGCACGGGCACCGTCTGGACCGTCCCTGCGTCGCCGAGCGGCGCCGGCTGCTCCTCGGACGCGCTGCTGGGCGGCCCCGCCGCAGGCGCTGGCGGCGCCGCCCCCGGCGGCGCGCCGCCGGCGCAGCGGCGGG